AAATGTAGTGGTTCACCATGAGTTGAAAGAGTCAGCACTGAGGGGGACTGAGCACAATGTACACTACCATATACAAGTTTTCCTCACTTTATGCTGTACATGCATTCCTGGAAAACAGTGCATAACTCAAATTTGCATAAAGGGAACCCACTTTACAATGTAACAAATAGGGATACATTCCAAGACCTCAACTGTACTGACCCCCAGATCCATCTCTACCACTTTTACAAGACAGTTTTGGTACTCACCAACAGCACACAGTACACACAAGCACAGGGCACTATCATCATGGCGATGGCAACTACAGAAACACGTGTTGCAGACAATGAGTGAGGAGCACAGATCCACACAGGAGACTATGTTTTGGTGCACATCACTCCCACAATGCATCACACAAAGCAGCTGACTGTGGACTTCCACCACACTGATCTCATAAGAGTGAATTTACCTTGCATATAACAAATTTTTGGTATAAAAAGGATCATCACATAAAAGCAAATTCGCCCATACAGAACCCACATAAAACGAGGGAAACCTGTATCTTATTCAGATGGGTTCTGCTAATCTTTTCTTGTGGTAGGCTCCCATGCTTGCCCAATATAGGTGATGTGTTTTATAGTCATGCTCAGTGCTAGCTGCATTTAATTAAATCAACTTCATAGTTGGCTTCCATTACTGAGCACGTGCTGCTTTTGGCAACAGTTTAATGATCAACAATATATTTAATTAGTTTTCCTTGTATGCAAACGTGAGACAAAGAGCTTTATTTCCCCATGTTGACTGAGGGGAAAGCCTCATCTTATATCTGAATAAATACAATAGCATGCAGCTTGTCTTTTCTCTCTACAAAAATTAAATATTATGTTGTAAAGAAATAAACAGTATATAAGATAAATATTGTCTAGATGAAAAAATGATTATGATTTAATTTACACCGGTTGGACACTGTTTAATCATAGGAGTTACTTATGAATTAAACCAGGTAAAACAATAACACCAGACTTACTTTTTAAATCAGGCAAGAATCCAAAATGGTTACAAAATGTCAAGAGAATACATTAACAAGCTTTAAAGATTTTTTAAAAATCAAATAAATCTATTGCTCAAGTCAATTCTATGGCAGAACTTGAAACTGCCTCCTTGAGACTATGTTGGCTTCCAAAAACTTTCACAGAATCACTTTGCAAAGATAGCAGGTATGAACCTAAAACAGAGAAACATTAAATGGTGGAGGGAAAGTGATATTTTGCCATCTAAGCTTAAATAGTACAGTACTTAATTCTCTTTTAGACATAGACCTAGGTAAATTTGGCAATCAGCTGCTTGAATCTGGGTGTTCCCTAAGACACAAAGTAGTATTTAAGTTGTTGCATTATTTAATTTTCATAAACGCAGTGTTTTTATTAAAAAGTGAATTATTCATAAAACTTAAATCATATGATTATTTTAAGACAAAGTCAATATATATTTTTTAAAACTAAGTTAAGTTTTAATCAGTACTTCATTCAAAACAGACTTTCAAGTCTGAATGTCAGCTAAGCTGAGTTTAGGTCTTTTTTGAGAAGCATCACTTGAGGAGGAGCTTAACATCCAAAAGCACTACAAAGTGATTTTAAAGTGTGTGTAATTAGAGTACTTCAGGCTTGTAGTACAACTCACAATACTAAAAGCAAAAAACAGAATCCCTATAAAAATGTATAATCAATGTCATGTGACTTGAAGTCAAAGAACTATATACATAAAAAACCCTAGAGACTATTTCAGCTCAGTAGCCTTGATATAGAAACCATTACAGAAACAGTACCTGAGCCATTCGTTAGTATTCTTTTGACTGTAATACATCATTGTTGCAGCATTTATACACATCTTCAAACAAAAGTTCCATATCTTTCGAAGATTTAAGTGCATGCCTACCTTTACACAGCAGAGTAGCCTCATTGATTTCCATATGCTTAAATTCCACACATGTAAGCTAAGGGATCATAGCCTAAGTTGTTGCTGCTGGAAAACCCATTGCCTTCCATTTTGTCAAAATTGCCTTTAATGTACCATCAGTGTCATGAATGCAAGTTCTTTTTAATCATGTGTATTTATAGCACTGAAGTGGCTTCCAACAGTAATTAAATCTGGTATAGGAAAAAACAGTTGTTCAAGTGCCTTTTCATATGAAAGATGTGTGTTACTACTTTAGGGCAAATCTTGCTCCCAAACTTCCATTTGGGCTTGAGGATTAACTGGGAGGACAGGGTGCAGGTAATTTAGGTACAAACCCCAACGTTCAATGTATGTTATAACTTTCACAATATAAATTAAGCATGTATTTAAGTGATTTACTGAACTGAGACCTTAATACTAGAAGATAGGCTTAATACATAATAATGATCAGGATGGTGAGTGTTATACAGGGAGTCCATGCTTCTGCACACAGTGGAAAAGATTCCATGAGGCTGATGGAACTGTAAATATAGGTATGCCAACATTAATACCAGCATACCTTTAGGGTCATTCTCAATTAGGCCAAGCTATATGAGCCACCTATTACCTATCTCTCCTTATCTAGCAGTTACTGCACATTGTATTCCCTTTTCCTCAAATGGAGCCCTTATAGGAATCAGTTTGCAAATTACTTGTCTGTCCTTCCCTGTGGCTTTAATTACGGGTAGCTGGGACAGTGAGTGGGGTGCAGAAGACTGAAAGTTAGTGCTAGCAGACTTCCTGTGCCTATGAATTTCAACCAGAAGGTGGCATGTGGTCAGAAGTGCTTTTGGGCTTGGGCTAGACTGCAAGCCTAAGGGCTTTTAACGTAGCTGGTTGGCATTAATGGGCTTAATGCCATTCCTAGGAGTCACACAAAGTAGCAGCATGGATATATCATATACCAGTGGTTTTCAACCTTTTTAGAATCAAAGCAACTCAGAAAATGTCAGCTCTTAGCTTCACTTGCTTTTTTGACTGGAGAAAAATAGTAAAGCATGTTTTCTGTTGCAAAGAACTCAGAAAGACCACAACAGGTCAGAATGTTTCTGATACTATGGATTCTTATTTGAAATCTCTTGGTTTATATTATGAATCAAGTGTAGGTGTTTGTATATCAATTTGTGCTAATATTGTACAGCACCCTTAAGAAGATCTTGTGGCACCCCAGGGTACCATAGCAGCCTGGCTGAGAATCACTGCCAACTAGACCCACTAGAACTGTGCTGAGGAGTAAGTGCATACTATATACAGACTACTGCATTCTTGAGACTGATGGGAGGATTTTACCTCCAACCCTGAACCCCTGGTACAACCTGCTATATCTGGATTTGATGCAGGTTTCAGGAATCACTCAAAGATCAGGGGAAAAGGTACAGTGTTCAAGACTCACCCAATGGTAAGGGAAAGAGCACTTGTGTTGATCACTTCTAATTTAATTTAATTTTGTGTTACCTTTATTTATGTGTTAATCCCTTTTCATACACCCAGATCTCACTTTTAGTGAGTGAGATTCATACCAGAGATACATTTCCTTGGGATGTAAAACTACTTACAGCATTGAAGAATCTGGCCCATTACCTTTTAGTTCCTTTACCAATCCATCTTGCCCATGGGTAGCACATTTGTCTCTGTTTAAAGTAAGCAGGTTCATATTTTCTTTGCTGTTTGAAAGTAACTGAAGATAGAACATGAACAACAAAGTTTCCTTTTAAAACAGTCTTTCTTGAACATATATTCTTTACTACTAACTTTTAATCTAATTTATGCACAGATAACATTAATTCAAGTATAGTTGTGTACTATACCTAAATATCCTTCATTCAATAAGATCAGACCACTAGTCTAGCTTAATAACAAAAAATCATATGATTGACTTAAGCCAGTGGTTTGAGGCACCCCTCAGAAAATGTCAAATTTAACTGTAGAAAAATAATAGAGCAATTATTCTGTTGCAAAGAACTCAGAAAAACCACAACAGGTCAGAATGTTTTTAACACTATGGATTCCTATTTGAAATATCTGGGTTTATCTTGTGAATTATGTTTGTGCACTGTGTGTGGCACCCTGCAGCACTCTTGAGAGGATCTCATGGCACCCTGTTTGAGAATCACTGACTTAAGCAATCACATTCTAATTATGAACTGTTTTTATTACAGTAACTGCTCGTATTTTCTTTTCTACTTTAGGCAATTCAGACATATCAGAGTGATCCTGCAATGAGAAGGATGCTAAACCAGTTGTATTTCTATATCATGCCAGTATTTAATGTAGATGGATATCATTTTAGCTGGACTGATGTAAGTTGTTTTGCCAACATTATTAAAAGCATGTCAAGATAAAAGTGAAATGATTGTATGGAAAGTCACCTTTAAATGCTGTAATAATCTGATCACTTTGTAACATGATACGTTAATATTATTGACTTATAAGGAGTGAAAAATGTATCAAACTTCTTTAATCTGGATGATGTGCTATGTGTACAAAGCTGTTTTATCAATATATATTCAAGCATTTGTATTTTTTTTTATTATGTCTAGGATCGATTTTGGAGAAAAACAAGGTCAAAGAACTCAAAGTTTCATTGTCATGGTGTAGATGCTAATCGTAACTGGAAAGTGAAATGGTGTCGTAAGTCTGGAAATAATTTTGTTGTCCTAATTCACTTTATCATGTATTTAATCATCCAAAGCACTGAGCAAATTACAACATTATAGTGCAGCCGTAGCCTCTCCTTAGTTAGTACTGAAGTCAGATTTCATTATTTTATAACCTTATTAATCAATGACCTTCACAAGTCTGAAAAAAAGAAAAAAAAATCCCAAAAGCATGGTTTTCCTAGGATTTGGATGCTATGCCACACCTCAGGGTAGAAGTTTTTGCCTAAGAAGCTCAGAAAAGTGAAGCAAAATATTGTAATATTAGACCCACCAAAACACTCCAGCTACTTTGCATTGTTCAAATATGTAAAAAA